ACATTAAATATTTCTCTCTTAAAAACGGAATGATATAAAAGCTAATAGAGTCATAAGTAAAAATAACGTGGTCCGACCTCTAATACTTCCATAGAAATAGGATTTTCTTGCTTTCTCTTCCGATCACCATTTTATGGCAACAATGAAATAGGAAACACCTCATCCATTATTCTTTTCTTTTCGTTTTTTATTTTCTTTAACTTATTCAAATGCTACAAAAATGGCTTTACGTCTAAAACGGGCTTGGTTAATATGGAGGTGGGCTTAATTGTCAGCTGCGAGGGGCAATGTCTAAACAACACAACCCTTTTTGTTTTTCCAAGAATAGATTAGTCAAGGAAGTAATAGTATTTTAAGGTAAGTTTCTTTCTTAACTATTGCTACTTGTTGGAAACACTATAATTGTAACTGATAGATCCTCACACAATCAAAGGGAACAAAATCAATCCTTCTTCCCAAGGAAAAAATGATAGCATTGAATTGAAGCAACCATGCCATGGGTCATGACTTGGGAGGATCTGTCAACTATACTTAGAACAAAATATTTGTTTGGGTCAATTCTGAAGAAGAAAACAAGAAAATTGAGTGGTATGAATTTTGATTTGTTTGACAAAGACAAAGTCGTGTGGTATCTTGACTCAGCGGTTGGTGTAGGGTTAGCCAGTTGCCAACCAATCCGCTAAAGTTTGATTACCAAAAAGCAAAGCCTCATAATCAAAATTTTAATTAGAAGATACTCTAAAACAGGAATCCAAGAAAACAGTATCATATTAATTGTGACCAAAGTTTCATACGTCTAAAATGGCTTCTCACAACACGCACACACTTTTTGACATAATAACCAGCTTGATATTGTGATTTGCCCTTTGGGAAACTTCTGTTTTATTAGGCAACTTGGATGGACTTTCATTAAGACAATTTTAATTAGAACCACTAGACGAAATTTTGAAAATTATGAAATAAACCATTCAAATTTTCAGAAATAACAAATTGTACCAATCCTTTTTGTTTTCTTACCCTTCCGATTACTACTAATACTACTACGACTATTAATCTTGGTCGATACTCATTCTATTAAATATTAAAAGTTAGCTTCATGTTTACACGTTCGGTGCACGTAACAATTAAACTTCACTTTCAAGATCATGAAAGTTACAGAACCTAACTTGGTTGTATCCAAAGAGGAACATAAGATACCTTATCCGAGCTAGTTTCAGATGAAGACACAAGGAAATTCCTCTCATTCAACCATCAAAATAGGAGCATCTTTCACGTGATGACTTGCATTAGTTCATTGGTACAAGGCATTTTTGTAGGCTCCCACCACCTCCCCCTCATGAAGCATCTATTTGTTTCCAATCCATGATAATTCTCAAAAAAGGCTCTAGTTTTGATGTTGACCCTTTCTAAAGAATGGAATCTAGAATAACAGAAAGGCAAAGTAAGACACTCTTGCCAACATTTATTTTTAGGTGCTTGCTAAAGTTATAATATTAAATTTCAGAGAATATTTTATATTTTTTTAGATTAATGATTATTATTTTTTTAATATTTTAAAAATTACAAAATATTAATATTTTTTAACTAAATTACTAATATCATTATTTATTAATATAAAATTAACAGTGGCGATTATTTTATGTCTAAAAGATGGTACCAAATTTTAAAATTATAAAAAAAATACAGTAGATTTTATTATATTTTTATTGTTAAATAACATTTATATTAATTTTCTTGCTTTGTTAGTTGGTATTAGAAATATATATTCTTCCTCCCCACATACCTTTAAAATATTAAAGGATGATTTTATTTCATGTAAATAAAACCTATATTCAAACTCATTACGAATTATTAGACAAACAGCTGCCTCAAACATTCTAGTTTTCCCACAAATGTAGAGTACAACAAAGTCAACATCATGTTGGGGGAATTGTTGGTCCGATGTTCAACGACGAAAATTTAGATTAAGATCGAAGATATTTAGGCCAAGCGTCAAGCACGATTGGTCTACTTTATACAAACTTAAAATAGAAATTTTAAATTAATAAAATTAATTTATTAAAATTCTTATTCTTTTTTAAAAAAATATTTTATTTTTTTAAGATGTATAAACTATTTATTAACTATCATAATTAATTTTATTTAATATTATTTTTAATTTTAAAAAGCAACGGTACATGCTTTTATTTGGTAGAAAAAAAAAAGAACAAAAACACAATCAATCTAATAATAAGATTATGTGAAAGGAAAAAAAATGACGTTAACGAAGAAATAGAATGAAAGGATATAAGAAAAAGAATAAAATTTTATTTCACTAAATAAGTTCAGCTGTTTAGATATATGGTGTCGTTAGGTACGGTTAAAAATTGGATTTTTAAAGATATTATTTAACTATGAGATTTCTTTTGATAATTTTTTAAGATTTTTTTTTTGTTTCTCTCTATTTTTTAATTATTAAATTAACCATTTTTACTAGCGATTTTTTTTATTCTAAGTAACTTTGTAATTAATAATTAGTGTTTTAAATTCACTTTCTAAAATTAATTTTTTTTTATCCAAATCCATATTGTGTTTGAAAGTGCTACTTTGTGTCCTAATTTATTAAATTTTTAAGCTATATTAGATTATAAAATATTTTTATGATTATATTTTAAAATTAATATTTTTTATTAACCTTAATTTTTATAATTAAGATTAAATGTTTAAAATATTTTTTAAAATATAATAATTATACTAAATATATAAAATATATAAAATATTTTTAAATTAATTACTCTTATTATTTTATATTTAAATTTATTTTTTAATTTCTGAAAACATATAACATAATATTTTTATTTATTTAATATTATTAATATTTATTTTTATAGAATTTTAATTTAAACTTTTATTATCAAATTTTTTATTAAAAATAATTTAAATAATAATAAATATTTTATAAAAACTTTTATAAAGTATAATATAATTAAAAAAAATTACTAAAATCTTTTTAAAATATACTAATTTAATATAAATGCAGTATAACAAATTAGTTTTACCTTAAAAACTAAAATTTTAAATGTACTAAATTTTTTTTTAAAAAAATTAAATTTAAAACTAATTTAACATAAAATTATATTTAAAACTAATTTAACATAAAGAATTAAATTTAAAGCTGATTTAACAACAACCAAATTTAAAACTAATTTTAAACTAATTTTAGAAAAAATTAAATATATTAGTTTAAAATTTAATCTCTATAATTAATTTAATTATAATGAATAGATGATACTAAGTAGAAAATATGAATTTTATTTGAATATAATATAAATATAAAAAAATATTATTAACTGATTAAAATATATATAAATATAATTTTATATTAATTATTATAAATATTAATTGTTTTTTAATATAATAATTTAATAATAGCATAAAAATATTTATAGTATGTTTTGTTAAATTTAAAATCAATTTTAAACTAAACCCATCTGTAAAATTAATTTTAAACTTATTTTTTAAAAAAATATAAAATAGACTAGTTAAAAATTCAATTCATATAGTTAGATATAAAATGGATTCAGATTGATTTTGTACAAATGCAATCTATGTCCATCTTTAATTATAACTTCTTAATTATCTAAATTATTCTTATTTTATTTCTTACAAAAATTGTAATGCATATATTATGTCTTACCTTTTATTTTAACACTTATTTCTATAACTCAAGTTTAAAGTTAATTTACATGCACTATCATAATTATATTATCCATAAAAAAAAATTATGAATAATGTCTCTAGTTAATACATCTAACACTAAGTATTTCTGTTACGAATACACCTGTTCACTTTTTTTCTACCAAGATCTCTAACTCTGCATTTTCCTGTCTTCACGTTTAACTAGAGTATTCTTAATGAAGTTTCAAGTTTTCTTCTATCTAGGATGAGGGCAGGTATCTACAATGGCATTCAAATGATCAAGTAAGTATTTAATATAAAGTAATAGATAGTATTTAATACTCTTTTTTTTCATCATCGAGTTACTTGTTCCTCTTATTTTTCTTTTATAGGTAATATATTAGGCCTGATTGGTCTGGTGGGCTTAACAGGTAAGCTCTAGATTAACTATCTGATAATTCAAATAATTACTTCTTTTATTATTTTAATCATAATGTTAATATATCTTTAGGATGGTCAAAGAGGTGTGTGGCACCATTCGTCCAATGAAGGTAAAGCGGTAATTGACACCCTTCATCCGAGAATAAGGTTGAAGGAGTATTTGATATCCCTTATCTTAAAATGAGGCCGAAAGGGTGATTGATACCTCTTGTCCTAGGATAAGGCTGAGGGAGTGATTGATACCATTTGTCCAAGCCGAAGGAGTAATTAGCAACCTTTGTTCAAGGGTGAGACCAAAAAGGTGCTTGACTCTTTTCGACTTTGAGATTGACCGAATGGGACATTATCTACTACATTATGTTAAATAGATTAGGAGTTAAGTTCAAACCTTAATACAAACCTATTATTACATAAGAAGTATTTAATCCAAAGTCTCATAATTCTGAAACATGTAGTGATTTCATCGTATATACCTTGTATTGTTCGAATACAAGTTATGCAAACATCTGTCCTTTCAAAAGTCTTTCGCAATAATTTTTTCTTCCTAATAAATAATATATTTTGGTATACATAATAGGTTAATATTATTTATCAATTATTTACTAACATTTAGTCATTATTTTGAAAATATTATTAATTAGTAAAAATATTTTTTGGAAGTATAAAGCCAGGGTTTAAGCACCTTACTCTAAGACTCGCCCTGGTGAAGATTGTACAGGGGTTCCATTTTGGTAAGTGCAGCAAACCCACTGCAAGGAACATTTCGCATTTATTTGGTGTCTTAAAGTAAGTGACAAAAATTATAAGAATTAAAAAGTACAGGTATGTTTTCTATCATATCGTGGAAGAGAGACGATGGAGAGAGAGAGGGAAAAAAAAATTATGCAAGACCCAAAATAAAGTTTCTCCCCTGAAGAGGAAATGAAATGGTTAAAAATAACAAATTTATTCATATCTACCATTACGTTAAAAATAAAATAACATAATCATTTAGCATAATTATATTTTCTCTTATTTTTCTGACCAAACATGAAGAAAAAATCATTCATTTTTTCTCTTCATTTAAGCAATACAAAAAATTCTAATAGTAAATAATATTTTAAGAATTTAACTTTTTTTTTTGACCAAATCTAACAGTGTCAAGTAAGCCATATAACTATATTTATTTTTTCTCTCCTCTCATTTTATCTTCAATTCAAACTTCAATGTCTTTTTTTTTTTTTCTCATTTTCTTTCCTCTGAAACATATTATACTGGCTTTCATTTCAGATTGGTAAGTAACATCACTTGCTGTAGAGGGTATTTTGCAGTACCCATTTAAAGAATTAAAATGTTGAATAGAAGAACTATGAAACATTCCAAGCAATGCTAAAAAGATGAACATAATATGAAGAATAACAGCTTTCAATTCCTTTAGCAGATACAAGATATAAAGTAAGGTCCCTACTATCTAATTCTCTATGCATCGGAAATTAGGAATATACAACTAGGATATTTCAGAGGATGGTTACCAAAATATTGAAGAAAACCTTCATATTGCAATTTGCAACATAGAAGTCGCTTCTGTAAAATGAATCATTGGAAGCACAGAAATCAAACAAGTTCTAGCTAGCACATGTGTGAAAGCACAATCTGGCCAGGAAAACTCCTAAAAAACCTTATCCAAACCATGATCATTAATGTAGCATCATCCTTTTTCATTCATCTGAATCGCTATTGAAGTTGATGCCTTGAGTTTCCATTGAATCTTGGTCCATCATCTGATCACTCGCTTCATGAAAATCTTTATCTTCTATAATATATGGCTCAACCAATTTCCAGAACCAAGACGAATTGCTTCCCAATATACCAATCCAAAATACCCTTCCTTTCCTCTTCACTTTACAATCCATGGACATTGCTTTAAACTTTTTGACAATGTTCTCAACACCCTCAGGGCTTCCCTTTACCTTCAGCAAAATATCTCCTGATGAATTTCGATGGCCCCCATACATGTACCAGTATGCAAGAACACAAGATGACATCCACCGATGAACCAGTTTAGGAATTGTAGGTTCACCTTTTGACCAAAACTGATCTGCATAAAAGCCAAAATGAGAGCTTGCAATGGTGCAAAACTTATCTGGTATGTTCTCACTGTCATCACTGGACTTACAAGTAGGATGCAGCCACTCATAAAACTGGCGATATATGTGACTCTTTAGGACATAATGGCTGCTGGAATTGCCATCAAAATCAAAACGGATAATGTGATTCTTCCTTCGGTCATCAGAATCAATCCGCAATCCACCTAAAAGCAACCCAATTAAGATTTCTCTCTGCTCCTTGCTTAGCTTAAGGCTTATTGGTTTTTTAATAATTTTCCTTTTCAAGCTCAGGATATAGTCAAGCTTTTCCATTAATGGGGATTCAATTTCATACTTTTTTTGACACATAAAGTCATAGATCTTCTCTGCCTTTAAGTGATTTCCCAAAGACAAGTATCCACTTAAGATGATGTTACACGATCGGGCATTAACACCAATAGTTGCATCACGAACCATTTGGTTAAATACATCCTCGGCCTTGTCAATATTACCTATTTTCACCAAAGAATTCAGATATATACTGTATATAGTACAGTTAGGACGACAGTTCTCCAGGCATTGGGAGAATGCCTCTTCCAATTTATCATGTAATTCCAAATTGAAGTACATGTTTAGTAAATAAACATATGATGGTGTGAGGGGCTTGAGACCACTCTTGACAAAATCTTCCATGATTGATTCAGCAATTTCTGATTCTTGTTCTTTGCATAGTATCTCTATTATTTGATTATATGCTGCAACATTTATTTTACCATGTTTCAACTGGATTTCCCTAAATATCTCCAATGATTTCATAGGCATGCCAACCTTTGAGTAGACTTCCATTTTATACACAAAAGCCTGAGCTGGGGGATCACCTTCTAACTTGAGAAGTTTGAACCAAGTTTTCTCTGCTTCATCCACCTCACCTTCCCTTGCACAAGCCCTCAATATTGATACTAGCACCTCTCTACCCTCCTCAAGTCCAGCACGTAGCATCTCTTCCCTCAATGCTGCTATCCTTTCTTTATCTATGGAATCTTGATAGCTATGCAGCCAAATAAGCCCCCCATAAATATCTTTATGCACATCAATTCCAGTTGTAACCAATTGATGATAAATAAACTCAGCTTGCTTAAGGTAATGCTTTGACAAGATCCCTGGTTTGCTTACAAGAGCTTTGAAGAGAGAATTATGCAAGCTACGCCGAGGCTGGTAACCACCCAACTGAATCATACGATTATAAATGGTGCATGCTTCATCCAAACAACCTTGAACAGGAGCACTAAGATAAGCAACAACTAATATATGGAATGTTGATTCACTCGGAACACGGCCTTGATTGATAATATCATCAAATACCTCACGGCACTTTGAAAACTTTCGTTCTTTGCCCATACAATCTGCTAGCTTGGTAGCAAGAGCAAAATCAAATCGATACCAATTTCTTTGCATCATCCACTTGTATACCTTTAGGGGGCACAAAAGTAATTAAAATTTTGAAAAAAAATTCTGCTTATGGTGAGTTTTGGTAAGATGTTAATTTCAGCCAATTACAAAATGCCAAGCAGTACTAAAACTACAAGGAACACAGTAAACAATCAATTCTATGAATGAGGAAGGACTGGTTTAATGAAATAACACTTCAAGGCTCAAAACAAATTCATAATGAATAATGACGTAAAACTGGCGACAGGAAAGCTCCATACCATTCACAACTCCACACCCAAATTTATATTAGTCATTCCCACAACAAGAACACAATGAACTTCCATGCTATCAGGCATCCTTTTACAAAGTTTCAGAAATCTTAGCACACCACCTAATCATTAACCAACAAGAACTAGCCAACGCTTATTTTCACAGCACTGAAACTTCATCAAAATGCCAATTTCATAAAATTCTAAAACAACATTATGAATGCATAATAATTTACACAATTTCATCACCATTAACTTCTTCCATTCACCCTAAAACCACTTTGAACACAACATTAAATAGCAAATCGATAATTATCCTGCACTCAAAGCTATGAAGCCCAGATACTTCGAAACAACAAACGTATCCATGTCGGGCACATATCCGATACCGATACGTGTCCGATACATCTAGATACTTATCTCAAAAGCATCTATAGTTTAATTTATTTTTAAAAATTAATTTCTAACCTAATACAACTTAGATATGACTGGAATATGGCTCCTAATCATTCAATATAGTTTAGATAGAATTAAATAGTATAAAGATAGGACCTTCTTTTTATGATAGTTCTATAATTCTTTTGTGGAATTATAATTTACATAAGGGTAAAGTATGTAATTTTTTAATGTGTTTATCGTAGGAAAAATATTTTGACTTAGTTACTTAGACAAAGGAAAAATATGATCTCATGTATTTTTTTTTTTGTAAGATGTGATCATTGATATCCAAATATAACACATTAATATAAATGAATAATCAATATCTCTTTATAAATATTTTGTATACATATAAAGTATGTTATTTCTTTAAATTCATATTAACATATCTAAGCCGTATCCTATTTTGAATTTCAAATTTTTTCCGTATCCCCATGTCTGTATCGTACTAAGTATCTAGGCTTCATAGACTCAAAGCCTAGGCTTCTCATCAATTTGCGCAACCAAAATAATAAACTTAATATACAATTTAGTCTCTGAAAGTAAAAATTTGCTTTATTTTGATCCCTAAAATTACACACATTTACAAATTAGTCCCAAAAGCACCAACTACTAGTAAACAATTTCATCCTCACAGAACTAATTTACATCAATAAAAATTATATATTGGGTGCATTTTGATAACAGCTTAATTGAGCTCATATTCGATAAGCTCATATCGTATAAAGATAAGTTAACTCCGAAGTTATCCTAAACAGCTAGACTTATAAAATATAATACATTAATAACAGCTATAATTACTAATTTTCTAAGAAACACTAGCAAAATAATGCAACCATTCCTTCGAAATAAACGGAACCAAACACGCACTTACTCTGAAGGCAGTTTCGTTTTCGCGAACCCGCAAGCAATGCATGAGGATGTAGGTGGCGTCTTCTTGCCTCATCCACTTCTTCTGCGCGTTCATAATCCTCACAAGAGTCCCAGCCTTATGCGCCGGAAGCTCCTTGCACAGCCACGCCACCCTAGCCCTCCGCCACTCCTCCGGCACCTCGCTCAGATCCACCACCTCCACCTCCGGTCCACGGAGCTGCTTCAACTCCGCCTCCGCTGCCACCGTAGCCGACGATGACCGGTAAACCTCGTTGTCCGAAAGGCCTGCTTCTTCGGCGCCGCGAACCGGGTGGTCGACACCGACGGCGAGGCGCGTGAAGCGGCGGGGACCAGGGAAGAGAGGAGAAGGGAGCGTGGCGTGGCAGCGATTGTGGAGAGAGACGGAGAGAGAGCGAAAGAGGGTGAAGGTCGAAGAGCGCATGGAAGAGAAGAAGAAGGAGAAAGAATTGGAATGAAGGTTAGGGTTTGAGGAAGTGTTGTTGACTTGAAGGGGAAGAACAAGGTCTTGACCTATCACTCTCACCACCATGTTCACTTGTTAATGCAATGCTTCAGACTTGTGTGTTGTGTCTCTCAGATTATCCATGCTTACGTGTCTCATCGTCTTGTTCAAGGTGGGAACTCAGAACTTGTAAGGAATTTTGGGCCTGTTGGGTCGGATTTTGCCACATCCCAAATTGACAGATATTGGGCTCTTTAATTTATCTGGACCCAATAAAAACTTGATCATGTTAAAACAAACTAGCGTTTTTCTTTTATGGTCCTTCACGTAGTATTTTTTAATTAAAAAATAGTAATAATATATTCCGTCAATCGTAGTCTTTAACGTACTTTTAATGATAAACATGCTATTAGAAAAATTTGGAGTGAGATAAACATGTTATCCAAGAACTAAATTGTAAAAATCAAATTAAAAGAATTAAAATGTATATTTGATGTAAACCTTTGATATAAACAATCAATGATTAATAAATAGGGAACATTAATGTATTTTAATATGTAAGGTGTATTTTAATAAACAGGGAACATTAATATATTATTTTTATAAATAAAAAATTATTTTTAAAGATAAAATTATATTTTATTATTATTTTGTTATATTTATCCTTATTTTCTTTTCTTTTTTTTGTGGATAAACATATGTATCCATTTCAGTTTGCTTCAACATGAAGTTTCGACCACTTTTGCATTTTCTATTATCATTTTCATCCGTTTTATAATTTTTTAATGACGGCGTCGTTTTTACGTGGACATGTTATCGTTCGGAATTTTAAATATTGTTTGTGGCCTCTATCACTAGCATCGCGTCAGCTAATATGATTTACTTTCGATAAGTTTCTACATAATTACTTGTTGGAAAAAATAAATATAAAAATAATTAATTATTTTATAAATTAAAACAACTTATATTAGCTAAGTTTTATAAAAATTACATAGGAAAACTATTAAAAAATAGAAAATTATAAATTATTTATTTTACCATTTATAAATTTTACTCTTATATGTATTTATAAATTATGTTATAAATAAATATAAAGAATTTTATGTAAATTAGACAATGTATAACATGAAGTATATCCATGATTTTATTTGTAATATTGGAGGTCCTCTTAGTTATGTCTCTAACTTGGGAAGTTGGGGTCAAGGGGTAACACTTACAAACGGTATATAATGGGATCGGTTAACAAAGGTAAAAAATAAAATAAAATTCATAAGCAAAAATAAATAAATAAATAAACAAAATTCATTTGATAAACACCTTAAAATAGAAAAAAAATGACAGATAAAATGATAAAATAAGAGAAATATATAATTATTTTCTTTTAGATTAAATGCATATATTACAAAAAAAATTGTTATTTATTGTTAAATAAATAAAATTAGATATTAGAGTAACTTTTATTAGTATAGTTTTCTCTAACCAAATATTTTGTCAGTATTCATTTTAAAAATTTATATTAATAAAATAATATACCATACTAACAAGTGACTTTATTAATAAAAATATGAATACATTTTTTTATATTTAATATGCATAGATTTAATTGTAAGCAAGTTAGATCGTATAACATTCGACATTAGATGTGGTAGCGAATCGGTATAAAAAGATTTCACTGGTTGGGTGGAACGAATGAAGTTGTTGGCAGAGGATAACATTGGTTCAGTTCAACATTATACATTCTTTTCCTTCCTCATACACTACCTTTACACCCTTATTTGAAATTCTTGTTTAACCGGTTATAATATTAGTGTGTTATACGGTTTTATTTGAATATATAAAATTATTATATATTATAAAAATAAAATATATAAAAAATTAATAAAGTAGTGTGATAAAGCATTTATTAATTTTATTTTTATAAAATTTTCTTATATTTTAAAAATATATTATTTACTTGATAAGAACATTTAAATTAACTGTTTTACATTTTATAAAAAATTATTAATTAGTTTCTTAATATAACTATTTTAATATATTATATGTATATTATTTTATAATAATAATAATAATAATAATAATAATAATATTGTTTAGTCAATAACAAAAAAAAAAAGAAAACTACAAACGAAGATGTAAATGACTTATTACGATAATTAAGAAGACTATATAACTTATATAAGGTGAACCATTATACTAAAAGTTAATCCATAAAAGCTTTATATTGCTCAAGTTAATTAGCAAATAAATTATCCTCCTACAAATTTGATAAAAAAAATTATTACTTTATCATAAAATTATATTTTAATATAGAATACACATTCTCTCAATTTAAAAATCACATATTTAATAATATATTATAAATAATAATTATAATACTATTGCAGTATATATCATTTATTAAGCATAACATCTATTATCAATTTGTAATTAATTTTGTGTAAATATAACAGATATAAAATAAATAAATTTATTAAAATAAAGGATATAAAAAAAGTATACTGAACAAAAAATGTTAATATTTAAGTGTTGAATACAAAAAAGTAATATTAAAAATTATATTACATTTAATTTTTTTTACTTTAATTTTTTTATAAATAAAAAATCAACAATATGAATATATAATTAAAATTATAATAATGGATAATAATTTATACAAAATAAAAAATTAAACTATTAAACTATTATTTTATTTAGCAATTTACATAAAATATATAACTATGCATTTCAATTTATAGTTTAGGTAATATTTTTTAATGCTATATTAACTGATAGCATAATTAATTTTATTTACTATATCAAAATACTTTTACATCTTTTCTTAAATAAGTTTAAAAATAAAAATACATGCATTTCATTTAAAGTCTTTTAACATAAGAAATCTTAATCTTATGACGAGTTATTTACATTAAAAATAAAATAAAATAAAATTATTTTTTAAAAAATAAATAATTTATTCACTATTGATGTTCACCATAATAATATATATTCTTTAAGTATATTTAAGGCTTATTGAATAGTTATGTGTTAGATAAAAAATTTCTATTTTATTTATCTAAAAATTATATATGAGATAATTTTTAATTTTATTTTATCAAAACTTATAAAATAACAAAATTATGTTAGAAGTTTATGGACATAGATAAAATGCACTCAATTGTGTTTAAATAATATATTTCTTCTTCTTCTTTTCTATTTTTTCTTCTCCTTTTATTTCTTACTTTTTGAAGTAAAGAAATTAAAACAAGAAAAATGTGGTTAAACATATTTTCAAATATTTTTTAAAGTCTTTCAAAGATAATTTTTTAAAAATATATAAAAGGTTAAAGTAAGAATGATAAACACATATAATAGTTCACTTTTAGAATAATAGGCTATGTTTAATCCTTGACTTCAAAAAAGAGTTTTATTATTTTAGATATTTGTATACAAGTATCTCATCACTCTATTATTTTTGGACAAATTTCTTCGGACTTAAATAAAAACTCAATTATTCTTTTATATAATGTCTCTCTAGGTAAACAAGCATTCCTCAATATATTCAAGCTAACACACTTTTTATAAAAAGATTATACATAAAAAGAAGTTTGATAAATATTCTTCTTACTTTGTTTAATGTTTTTTCCTTGACTTTTTTTTTTTTCGTGGAAGTATGTTCAGCTTATAGTAATCTTATTCAAAGTATATAATAGTTATTAAAATTTTACATCAGACACTATCAAGTGTGTTAATTTTAACAGATTTTTTTGTCAAAAAATACTCTAATAAGTGTAATATTTTATTTGTTTGGGCTACTTTATATCCTTTTTTTTTGTCATTTTTCCATATTAGTGTAAGGCATAGGGATGAAAAAAGAAAGTACACTTTCATCTTTTATAAATGAATTTAAAGAGTTATTGCTTTGTAATAGTTAATTTTTCTTTGAACAAACTTGTTTCTAAATCATATTTATATTCATACAATCTTCTAAATTTGTGTTGTCATTTGTACCATCTTGTGAAATGTATTAAATTATAATAATTTATTGTCTAACAAATGATTTCATCTTTTACTAATTATTTGGTTCTATCATTTAACAAATGCTTATGAAAGACTTGAACAAACAAATTAGTAATACCAACATATTATCTTACGAAATATCATGCACACAAAAGGAAAAGGAGATTCAATCTCTTAAATTTGGCATGGATAACACACAAGTGTTAGTTCCCTATGTGTACTTCACCATCAAAAGGCGCCACACATGCACTCTCACATGTTTACACTAGAGGAGTGACTTTCGTTGGACTTGCTTTTCATGTTGCATGGTTAACACATGTCACTCTTTTAGTTATGAAACTTGTTTAACTTACTTTTTATGCTACATATATGACATGTGTCACTCTCCCTACTTGTTGCACTTCTTTATCCTGCTCAAACACACCATAGGTGACACATGGTGCATCTTCCTTTTTTGATTTTTTTTCTAAATTTATAGGTCAAATAACTTATTTTAGTATTTATCTCATATAATTACATATTTTATAAATATCTTTAAAAATGACTCTATTTGGGTTAATCAGCCCGTATTTAAAAATAATACGAGACCAATTTAAATTAAATTTGATATTAGATTAGATGAACTTAAGCAAAAAATGTACATGAAATTGAAACTTATAGCAATTCAAACTATGTCAATATTACCATACAAATCAATAATTAAAATTAATTATTGATAATAAAACACTAAATGCTTATGGCTCTTCTTTATCCTGCTCAACACACCATAGGTGACACATGGTGCATCTTCCTTTTGATTTTTCTTCTAAATTTATAGTTCAAATGACTTATTTTATTATTTAGTTCACATAATTACATATTTTATAAATATATTTAAAAATGACTCTATTTGGGTTAATCGACTCGTATTTAAAAATAATAAGAGACCAATTCAAATTAAATAAGATATTAGTTTAGATGAGCTTAATCAGAAAATTTACATGAAATTGAAATAAGGTCTTTATGAGATCCTAACAACATCATGACATGCTCAATTATCTATTAACCTAGCTATGTTAGGCTCTTTGACCATTGTTATAGCTCACCATATGTATTCTATGTCTCCTTATCCATACCTAGCTACTGACTATGGTACATAACTATCATTGTTCACACATCACATGT